GTCTGTGAATTCTCTGATTCTCGCCCCTTTAGAAAACAGAGAGCCCTGGTGGCATAGTAGTTATGAGTTGGGCTGTAGTCCACAAGGTCAGTAGTTCAAAAAGACCAGCTGCTCCACAGGAGAAAGAAGGGGCTTGCTTGAAAACCATGTGGGAAACTCAGAGGCAGCTTTACCCCGCCCACTCGGGCTGTCGACTCAGAGTCGGTGAGGTTGGGTTTTCAAGTTTCAGAAAAGAGGGCTTAAGTCTGTACCCCATTCCTCTTCCTACCTCACAGTGCGGCCGTTTATTAATTCGCTTCTCATGAAAACCGTATAATTAGAAAACACTAACCTAACAGCACATTAACCACATCATCAATGGTAAATTCAACTAAACATGTATCTACCCTTGGTTTGATGTTGTAAGATGAGCCAATAAATAACTCCCGTGGTATTTTTATCTAAATCCACAGCCTCCATCTAACCTGAAAAATCGAGAAGGTCTACAAAATACCCAACAAGTACATCAAGGTCAGAAAGTCAAGGAAGGAACTTGTCACAGAAGATGAACTAAATGCAATATGGTGTCCTGAATTGGATCTAAAACACAAGACGGGCAGTAGCGGAACACAGAGACCATGTGAACACGGTCCATCATCTAGCTAACTGTATTCTTTCTCCATTTTGAAGAATGTTCTGTGATTACCTGAGATGTTAACATTAGGGAAGTTAGTTAACGGTTTACAAACAAGTCTCTGTTGCCGCTGCCAAGTATATCTAAAATCACTTCTTAAAAAAACCTCAAGATAGAAAGTGAGAATTTAATTCACTATTTACTAGTACACTGAACATGATTTCTAGCACTGACCCGATGTGTTACTTCTTTCTTTCTAATATCCCTTTCCCCGTTCCAAAGTCAAAGACCAATAACTTGTGCTCATAATTAAACAATGTTATTTATAACTAAAATTAAAAACTACTTGGAAGTTAATGCAAGAGGACTTCAAAAAGTTGACAGAAAACTGGAATTGGAAGCTGATGAACTTTTCCCACGAACTAGTATGAAGCCTCATGCTAATACCTCACCTATCAAATTCCTAAAAACATAATGTCCTATCCACATTAGCTGCCGTAAGTGGCGACACTCCAAGCAACTCAGATGATTCAGAGTAAACGTGAGGCACAGCCTACAGGCTTGAAGAAACATACACACATACAAACAAACCAATATACATACACAAGGAAGGGCAGGGTCATGCCACACTTAGTCTGCCAGGGACCTTTTCTAACAATGGGAATAACTGGTGCACATCTCTCTAAACCCAGGGGCTTTTTCTAACTGTGGGAATAACTGGTGCACATCTATCTAGAGCACCCTTCTAGGTCCTTCTCGTCCCCTCTCAGAGTCCATGTCGACCAACAGGACAGGGTATCACTGCCACTGTGGGTTCCTGAGCCTGTAATTGGTACCAGAGTAGGAAGCCTCATCTTTATCCTGGTGGTTTCAAACTGCTGACCTGGTGGCCTAATCATGTGGTTTATAGGACAGCCTAGAGCAGCAGTTCTCAACCTGTAGGGCCACAGGGGTCGTCCGATTCTTAACAGTAGCAAAAGTATAGCTATGAAGTAGCAACGAAAATAATGTTATGGTTGGGGGGTCACCACAACATGAGGGAGGCGGCATTAGGAAGGTTGAGCACCACTGGCCTAGAGCTTACATAAGGTCATTTAATTTGATTAGTCTCTTGAAAGGAGTATTAAAAAAAGAAAGCTACTATCTAATCTTGTCCCTACCTGCAACTTCAGGTGAGGCATTTTAGCTTTTAGTTTCTGCTTTCTTATCAACAAAAATGTGAGCACTCCTACAATGTACAAAAATGCCCCTAAAGCAGAGGAGCTACTCAAACAACACACAGCCTCCGATGATTCCACCCCTACAAGTGGACAAAGGGCCTCCATCCAGGAAGCCAGACTCCATACACTGTACCACCTTCAATCTGGCACACAGCTAAACAGTACAGATTAGCCACTGGGCACAAAGAAAAATTTAGATGGGTAATGGTTTAGTGTTACAATTTGTACTTGGGGGAGGGGCTTACTGTTTTAATTTAATTCCCAAACAAGGCTCCACCCTGTCAATGTTGACTTCCATGTTGCTAGGGGGCTACATAGGTTTCAACATGGCTTCCAGATAGATGTGATCAAGATGGATCGGAAAGGAAAGTTTGTAATCTACTTCTGAAAGCAGCCAATGAAAATCCAATAGATCACAAGAGTTGAGATTCTGCTATGTATATGACTGACGCAGGCTTTACTATAGCTAGTAGAACAAAAACCCTATCTCCTAGTAAGTCACAGCTTGTAAAAGCTTGTTTTCCCTTTCTGCTTTATAAAGTCCACTTTTGCCTTCTCTTGTATAGATTATTCCTAGCTCTTCACCCTATCGCCCATGGCGCCAAAGAATAAACACAAGAACTAGGAAGTGGATTTTTAAATAATATTTATAAATATAAACCTAGCTTAACCACCGCAGTGTGATCATTGATTACACTTGAAGAATCTAATTTAAGTGCAGAGCTGAAAGGACAAGATTGCACTAATAATTGCCTTCCCACTAGACAAGCAACTAGCCAAGAGAAAAACATCTACCTACTTTGACCAATTTCCCTTTTGTAAAAGTTTCAAAAACATCAGCCAGTAATAGTTTTGTCCGAGGGATATAACAGATAAGACACAATTCACTAACTTACCTCTGTCCTTTAATTTTTGTGCAAAATATTAAAAGAAGTTAAAGACCCATACTGTAAATTACAAAACAAAACAAAAAAAACCTGCCGTCAAAATAGGTCACCAGAAAACTACCATATCTCCGGATGGTCCGTCTCCAAAGGGGACTGTCAGTTGAGAACAGTATTGAGTTAAAAGAACAAAAGCACTGTCTACTTTCTACCTGTCAGAAAAGAATACAGAAGCTCAGATCATTAAAGGAGTTAACTCCTAACTAAAGAATTAATGACTTGATTGGAAAGTAGGCAGGGGAGGCTCAAGGCTATTCCAAAGCCTTCTCAATTTGTTCTTTTCACTTGACCTTGAAACACATGCACAACAGACCAGTTATGGTACCGACTTGTGAAATATTCCTTTATTTTAGTCTCACTGAACATTAGCCTGAAGCCAAAAATACTACTTTTTTAAAAAACTTGGAAAGACTGACAAATTTCCCCAAGCAGCATTAAAATTTGCTGAAATCAGACTAGACTTTAAACACACCATATTATTTTAACACTTGATAACTTAAATTGCTCACTTTAAAGCAAAGCGAACTGCAATGGAGTCACTTCTGACTGTACGGGACAAAGTAGAACTGCCCCTGTGGGGTTTCGGAGACTAACTCTTTACAGGACAAAGAGCTTCATCTTTCTCCCCCAGACTGGATGATGGTTTCAAACTGCTGACATGGTGGATAGTAACCCAATTCATAGCCAACTGGGCCACCAGAGCTCACTCACCTTGAATCTGAGAGCAAAATGCTGATTCCATGGCTAATCCCTCTCTAGAAGAAGGCAGCATTTAGAAATTGCTACACAAAAGCAAGTGCCAAATGAAACAATGTTACATTCAACGGGAGTTGTTATTAACGGCAACTAAATGTAAGAAAAGGACCACACAATATTTTGATCCTTTGCTATTTTGTTTAGTAAACATTGGATGGGGGGATAGAAGCTAAGTACAGAGTAAATGGAAACAAATATTGAACTCTGCAATAATTATCACAAAATGTGGATAAACGGTTGAATGGAAAACCAACTTGCTCTGAAAACTTTCACCCAAATCACAATTTAAAAAAAAATTAAGCTCCCCATTTTAAATTTACAAGCACGCACTTAGCATTTTTCCCTTGGACTATTAAAAAATGATCCTAAGGAGTAGAAATGCATTCAAATAGTTTCTTAAAAAGAAAAAAAAAAGGCAGAACACGTTGAAAGCCATTTAATATGAAACTCAGAAAAGCTAGTCCCCAAAACTTCTATTGCAGTTTACCCTAAGACAGTTGTATTGCAAAGTAATGATTTGGACCTCCAACATAGGCACACCATTTCAGTAAGCCAGGCAGTATACAAGCTTCAAATACACCTTTTTCCGAAGGCATGTAAACTCAAGCCTTGAAAGCTGTCTTCTCCCATCATATTGCACACACTAACAAGAGTATGTTAAATAGCCGGAAGGAGTACGGTTTTCAACCAGGGATCTCTCCTGCCAGAAGGGATGCGATTTCCTTTACATCTCAATCGCCTGCAGTTCATGTAGCATTTATAAGCTCCTGAGAAGTCAAATTCACCAGCCATGCTTTCAATTCCTTGACTCACAGATCCCGAAGAGACCTGAAATTAGTCGCTTTGGATTCACTTTCTTCAATTAAAAAACAAGTTAAATTATCTTCTCAAAAGAGGGCTCTGGCTTGTTTTTGGTTTTGGTTTTTTTTTAAGAATAATAAGGTATACAGATCAGAACTTAACTTCCTGCTGGCGGAAATTTCCTACCATCTCGCTGAGTTTTAAATCTGCATTCTTTTTTCCTCCTGCTTTTTCCAGAAGCTGTTAGCACAGCACGTCGACCAGTGAGTTATCTGAACGGCGCCAGGTAGTAAGGAAGCTAAACCGTCTTCCTTTGTCCTAACGCCACTTCCAACCCTTGCTCCCCGGAGGGCCGCCAATGGCCTCAAGCATAAATGCCTTAGCAGTGTCCCCAATAGTGGGGTCTTTCGAGGTTGATGCTGCCGCACACACACACCCCACCGCCACCCCCACCTCGGTCCCCGTGATCACTGCTCTGGGAGCAAGGGTGTCCGGGGACCTCACAGGCCGCTGGGCCAAAGAATGAAACAGGCTCCGGAACGAAAAGTCCAGTCCGGCGGCCAGGGTTCAAATCCCGGTCCCTTGCCATCTTCGTGCCTTGGGTCATGTCACTCCACCTCGGGGCGTTGGAGGCCGCGGTCAAACGAGGGAGAGAACTGTACCTACCTCAGCGGGGTCCGTCCCTGGGAGGACTACGGTACATACGAATTGGACTACGGTACATACGAATTGCAGGGCATCGGGCCTGGCCCGGGGGAGAGCTCAGCGCTTTCCGGGATTATTCTGCGAATTCTCCATGCATTCGATCCCTACCAATACGATCGGAAACCCTGATCGCACTGATGGCGCCCCAGCCCTCCTCCTAGTCCGGGCC